TGACAGAACTAAACATATCCCGCCAAAGTTATTCTTATATGCGCAAGAGCTTGAACGAAACAAACAAATCAAAGTTCAATACATTCGATCAAGCGATAATGCAGCAGATTTATTTACAAAGGCGCTTCCGACGACAATATTTCGAAAGCACGTGCACAATATTGGGATGAGACATCTTCAGAATTTGCACGGATGATAATTCGAGGGGGAGTATGTGCGGCTGTACTCTTTTTTCCTTATCTCGGTTTTTTTCCCACAGGGTTTTTCCAGATAAGGTTTTTAACGAGGCAGCATAACGCATATTTAATTGTGGTAATTCCAAGGGGGAGTGTTATGTATAAGTGGAATTTACCACTAATATTAATAATATTATCACTTGTATTATTGTATTGAAATGTGTGATTTTATTGAAGTGTGTGCTAGTGAAATGTGATAAGCTAATGGCCTTGAAATTTGTCTATAAAAAGGGCCAATAGGCATTGTAATTCTTGCACGGAAAAGAAGTGAAAAGAAAGAACAGTTTGAGTTATATCCAGTTTTTATACATTGTGTTCTTTATATTCCCAGTATTTTATAACAGTTTTCCATTTATATATTAATAATTGGTTCTCATGATTAAATACAATATCCAGTTATTTGGGCCGGTTCCTAACAGCTGATGTATGGGCTTTGGACAATTCAATTAGTGGCCAGTATCTTTTACGGCTTGGATCCATCTTACGTGTACGGCCACGTGGACCCACTCACTACCTCACAGATGAATATTATTATTGTTGTCAAAGGTTAATATTTAACTAATTGGCAGTTCAAGACTAACAGGATTTAGCGCAGTGACGCATATCTCATTCGGCGTATCCTATATCGCGAATTCGAGTCCCTCTTCATTGTAGTAGCTTTACCCGGACTAGCACGAACGGACTTTACACTGAGAGGAGAATTAGGGAACCAGTATTAATCATCTTGTACAAAAAAAANNNNAAACTAATTTGCAGTTCAACATTCGACATAAGTATTTGCCAAAACTTTTGTTGATATAAGCTTTTTGCAGTTAAAAGGTGAAACTAAATCGGCCACGACTTGATTTTTGGGAAAATAATTTTGCATTTGCAGGTAAATCGAATCGATGATTGGTTCAAGCTCTCGCTGTATTTCAAGTAAAAATGATGATAAAAAAAAATATAAGTAGTTCGTGAGCTCGTAACCTCAAACTCGGTTCGATTTATTTACACTCTTAGTTTTCAAAGCTCGAGCTCGTTTATATGTAATTTTCTCAACCGTAATGTCAAGTGTGAGCGAGTTTTTCACCAATTTGGGACTCAAAATATGAGCAAAAATTGATATTTTTTTTGTAATTTTCTTTATTTCTTCAATAAAAGAAGCCAATTATTGCAAATTGGAGTTTAGTTCTTGTTGAGAAGAAGAAAATTGTTCAGTTTCTAATGTAACAAATATATAGAAATTAACATGTATCAAAAAATTCAATTCTATCAATGTATGCAAAATGTTTCTCTTAGGATCACACATATTCCATTTGAGATTTTGAAATTTGTAAAATTCTGTTTTTTTTTTTTTTTTTTTT